CTGCACGGGCACGCCGCCCCGCCGTCGCCGCGTCTCCCCGGCCTCGTCGCCGGCGGATCTGGTCGAGCCGGACCGGATCCACCTCCTCTCCGGCCACCTTCCCCTCTCCGGCGAGTTTTCCGGCCAGTTCTCCGGCGAGCCTCGGGATCCGTGCGAGGAACCCTAGATCTGAAATCTGAGGTTGACCCCGAGATATTTTTAAGTCTTTTTTCTGTATATTTCTAGCTCTGTTCATTGCATCATAACTCCGCATCCGTAGCTCCGTTTTGGGCGTGCCTTATATCAAATTGTTCATCTGGATGTGCTCTTAATTTTGTTCCATTGGACTATGCTTGTTTGAGTCCATCTTGATGCCCAAATTGTTGATGCAAGAGTGCTATAAAATGTTAGTTCCTGTTTCTTAGCAGATCTTGAGCATTTGTCATTTTGGCCATGATTATTGTGTGTTGCATATGAGCATGATCTCTACATGTGTTTTGGGCTATGTCATGCTATCTTTACAGGGGTGTATGCCATGTATTTTTGTGATTAATGTGGTGACTAGCACAAGCATGCAAAGTAGCTCTCGTGATGTTGCTGATTTCAGGGACTTTGAATTTCACTAAGTCATTTCCCTGTTGTTATTTTTATGCCATGTATTTATGTTGCTACAGAGAGATCCATGATTCTTTCGAGTATGTTCAGTAAGGATGATTTGGACATATGGTTGTGCTCTATCCATCCATGCCCCTGTTTGAATTTATGAAGTACCCTAGCATGACTCAATCTTGCTCTACTTTTGCTATAAAATGTTCCTGGCAGATTGTTTACATGTTAATCAATTTTGCCAAGGTTGTTGTAGTTGATCCATGCATGTTATGAGATTGTTCTTGCCATGTTTAGCTTCTTGATCATGTCTTCTTGCTGGTAGTATGCTTAGTTTGTCATGCAATGCGTTGTGTTGAGTACATCGAGCTCGCGAACGTGCCTTCATAATTCTGTTTATGCCATGTCCAGTTTTCTGCTAAGTCTGAATCTGTTAACGGAACATGCTATGTTTACATGGATGCCAGCATATCTTATGATCCTTTTTGGCTTATGGTCAGCAAGGGACTTTTGTTATATGCTTTGAGTAGATTCATGCAATGCCTTGTATTGCTATGTTCTGTTCTTGTAGCATGTTGATATCTTGCTCTAAACGTGGCTTCCTGATGTTAAATCCTGACATGTTAGTATTTTCACTAGGTCTGTGATGTTGTTATCTTTTGCACTTTTTCCATGCTTGTTTGAACCTGCTATTGTGTGATTTAGCCGTAGCTCAGTGTTTATCTTTTGTCAAGCATCTTGAGTAGATCACTGCGATGTGCTTTGTTGTTATGTTAGAGTGCAGTAGCTTAGTTTCTTATTGCATATTAGATGACATCATGCTGTTAATCGCAGAATTGTGCCATTCTTGTTTTGTTTGCCATTTGCAAACCGTGCATCCGATTCCGGTGCTCATTATATCAATTTCGACCAAAATCAACTCATATTTCCAGCGGCACGCTTGGTTTGCCAAGTTGAGGCCTGGTTCAATCTTTTCCTTCCGGAGCATGCATATGCATTGCATATCACATCCCACATATCATGCCATGTTTTGCATCATGTTGCTTGCGCATTGCACCGTGGTTGATTGTTGTTTCCTTTGCTTGTGTTCTTGCCTTGGGTAGAGCTGGGAGATAAGTACGTGATCGAGGAACCCATTGAGTACGCTTACGAGGATCAAGCTTACGTCAACTCGAAGAACTTTGCAGGCAAGATGACCATACCCTCGAAATCACTTCTATCTTTGCTTGCTAGTTGCTCGCTCTTTTGCTATGCCGCGATACCTACCACTTGCTTTATCATGCCTCCCATATTGCCATGTCAAGCCTCTAACCCACCTTTCCTAGCAAACCATTGTTTGGCTATGTTATCGCTTTGCTCAGCCCCTCTTATAGCGTTGCTAGTTGCAGGTGAAGATTGGAGTTTGTTCCTTGTTGGAACATGGTTATTGTTGGGATATCACTATTATATATTGTTTACTTTAATGCACCTCTATACTTGGTAAAGGATGGAAGGCTCGGCCTTATGCCTGGTGTTTTGTTCCACTCTTGCCGTCCTAGTTTCCGTCATACCGGTGTTATGTTCCTTGATTTTGCGTTCCTTACGTGGTTGGGTTATAATGGGAACCCCTTGACAGTTCGCCTTGAATAAAACTCCTCCAGCAAGGCCCAACCTTGGTTTTACCATTTGCCACCTAAGCCTTTTTCCCTTGGGTTCCGCGGACTCAAGGGTCATCTTTATTTTAACCCCCGGGTCAGTGCTCCTCTGAGTGTTGCTCCAAACTAGAGCACCGTGCGGGGCCGTCCCTTGGCAACTTGGGTTACGTTGGCTCCCGTATGCTTAGCTTATCCAGTGTGCCCTGAGAACGAGATATGTGCAGCTCCTATCGGGATTTGTCGGCACAGCGGGTGGTCTTGCTGGTCTTGTTTTACCATTGTCGAAATGTCTTGTAACCGGGATTCCGAGTCTGATCGGGTCATCCTGGGAGAAGGAATATCCTTCGTTGACCGTGAGAGCTTGTGATGGGCTAAGTTGGGACACCCCTGCAGGGTTTTAAACTTTTAAAAGCCGTGCCCGCGGTTATGGGCAGATGGGAACTTGTTAATATCCGGTTGTAGAAAACCTGACACTTAACTTAATTAAAAAGAATCAACAGCGTGTGTAACCGTGATGGTCTCTTTTCGGCGGAGTCCAGGAAGAGAACATGGTCTCGTGTTATGCTTGAACGTAAGTGGTTTTAGGATCACTTCTTGATCTTTATAGTTTCTCGACCGTGCTTTGCCTCTCTTCTCGCTCTCATTTGCGTAAGTTAGCCACCATATATGCTAGTGCTTGCTGCAGCTCCACCTCACTACCCCCTTTTCCTACCCATAAGCTTAAATAGTCTTGATCGCGAGGGTGTGAGATTGCCGAGTCCCCATGACTCACAGATTACTTCCAAAACCAGATGCAGGTGCCGATGATGCCAGTACAGGGGATGCGACCGAACTCAAGTGGGAGTTCGACAAGGATTCAGGACGTTACTATGTTTCCTTTCCAGACGATCAGTAGTGGAGCCCAGTTGGGGCGATCGGGGATCTATGCATTTGGGGTTGTCTTTATTTTGGTTCCGTAGTCGGACCTTGATTGTATTCTGGATGATGTAATGATATATTTATGTATTGTGTGAAGTGGCGATTGTAAGCCAACTCTTGCGACATGGGATGTGTCAAGATTACCCCTCTTGCGACATGCCTACTATGCGGCTATGCCTCTAAGTCGTGCTCCGACACGTGGGAGATATAGCCGCATCATGGGTGTTACACACACCTACAAGATCCACGGGCTATACTCCATTCTTCATGGTTTACAATGCCCGAGGCCATACTCCCTAGCAACCTCAGCGCACCTCGAGTATGCATGTATGAGGAAAAGGAAGCCGAGCATAGTTGGCAACATGACCTTTTTTTGAAAGAAAGACTGTAAGGGAGGCCCCTACAGTATAATTGGTGTAACAAACCCAAATTGCAAGTACCATGCCTTGAACCTGGGTGGGTGGGAAGGCATCAACCCCTTCCCACCACTAGGTTATGCCTTAGTATGCTTGGCAACATGACCTTGACGCCTTGGACGAGGAACGGGATGTCGCCCGAGCACGCTCAACCTTTTACGAACAATAGGCACTCTCCATCTATACACTGGAGCCATCCATGATCAATTTGAGACCATAATTGATAAAATAAATGGAGAAAAAGGAAAAAGAAATACCGTTAGGGCAATTGTTGAACACCTTGCATGCGGAGGGGGTCAGAGCCACGGCGATGGAGTGCCCGACTAGGACTGGACGCGGAGGAGGCCGGCGATGGTCCCTAGCAGCCTGCATCGGCAATTACCGGGCTCGCCGATGCTGCATGGGAGCTGGAGGAAGCAACGAGTTTGGCCATGGCGGCGGTAAAGTAGGCTAATTCCGGTCTCCTCGACTAGCGTGGGGTCACGCACAGGGCTCATACGTCATCTCTGAGCTCGGACGGCCCCATCCTGACCAAATTGGGGCTTGGCGGTGATGACGAAACCGATTAATTTTGGCACCGATGAGGGATGAGGTGGGGGAGAGGGCGGTGAGGCTGGGGAGAGGGGGTGGGGGATGCAAATGACGGCGCAAGGCCAAAAGGGACGCTCGAGTTAGCCTAAATTTGTTGAGACTTCGTGTTTTCTCAAAGCAAAAATACTCCCTCCATCCTTTAAAGAGTGTACTTCCAACTTTGTTGGAGAGTCAAACCATCTCAAAGTTTGACCATGTTTGTGCAAAAGTATATCAATGTTTGTGAAATTAAATATTGTTCTAGGGATTAATGACTTTTGGGGGAAGAGCTAGACATGCTCTAAGTACTCATGCTTCATTTTTTTTCATGACTGGAAATCAACTTTATTTCGAATTAATTCCCCCGGTGCAATTCTGGTTCTCACCAGGGCCACTCAAATTTAAGATCTCATAGTGATCAAGCCGATATCATAATTTGAATGTTGAACCATCAGGCAATTTTCAGGAGACCATAAGAACATGAAAGAGAAGTAAAAGTAGGAGCTAATTCTTAACTCAAATTTCCATATATCATTAGCCGCATGCCACTAAAATACACCACAGATGAATACACCACAGATGAATGCTGAATCATGGAACAAAGAGTTGGCCATCCACAGTAACTCTGAACACATGGCACAAAAATTGTGACCAAGAAAAATCGAAATGCTATAGAGGCCTGCACAAGAAGACCAAATTCTTGAAAGCAATTGAGGGAATGGCTGTTAAATAAGTTGTAATAATTCTCAGCCCTTGGTTCTTAGTATTGTGATGCTGCCTTTCCCACCTTCTGTTCTGATTCTTGTCTTGCCAATGACGGGCTTCCCAGAGAAAGCTGAAGTTTCCAGGATTTCTGGAGGCTTCTTTGGAGGAGCATGGATGCGCTGATTTATATCCTTGAGAGTGACATCTCCTTCTTCCCAAGATGGTTTGATAAGGGTAAAAGGGTATGCTATAGATGTAGTTACATTTTGCTTCGCCTTGATCATCGAGCTTCCTCCTAATAGGGAAGCAAAGCCAAATGATCAACATATATATTACTAGAGGTTCAAGTGTGTAAGGTAAGTTGATGAATAATAAGGTACTACCAAAACTTAAATACCTTTAGATACTTTGAGCGTAGAAAGTTTCCTAGTCTCATGCATTATGAGACTTTCTGTCACCGGAGCAATCTCACTTGTTCCTGTCATAGATAGAAAGAAAAGTAAATAGCTGGACAAAGCTACAGAAATTTTGTTTTAGCAAGTCACTATGATTGCCAAACAACAGCAAGTTGCACCAATTGCAAAGAAGATACAAAACAGAATACTCTTTACAAACATTTCTAGGAAAAATACTGACAATATAGCGAATATATGCATAGACTGGAAACCCTGACAGAAACATTGGATGAAACTTTTTTAAGATCTCAAAGATGGCATAGAAAATGTGCTTTGTACCGACCTGGCACATCGGTTTGACAACCAATGTATGTAACGCTCTCCTGGCTAGAAGGCCTACAAACAAAATATGAACTTGTCATGATTCAAAAAGAATGTGAACTAAAAGCAAATTGGCTTTAACGGAACCAGATAAGTACTAACATTTGATCAGGCGTGTAGTAGATAGTAGCTCCTTCAGAGTAATTATCCAATTGATTATCTGATGGCTCGTAGGATGCTCCATTAGACAAGGAACTGAACTTATCTGATACAAAAATATCCATTCAGCAAACAGAAAAGGCATGGCAGTAGGCAGCTGCTGGACAATAAGCCATATGTGGTAAAAGGATGAACCTAAATCATCTGAATTGAGCTGCATATTCCAGTTTAAACTCTGTGGTTCATCAGTGCAAAGCAATGAAGTCTCTGCTACCTGAGATATTGATCAACAAAGGACACAATAGTGTAAGCAATAGCAAAAAATAGACGAACTTCGAACATAGCCAGCTAGTAGTGAACCACCTCAGATGTCACAAAATTAGAACACATTTCATGATCACCAACTTCTGGCTGATTAACCTCAGAAGGGTACTCCAACACGCGTCGCCGCTTTGATTCCCGAGACTCCTCCAGGTCTAGTGTCTCCTTGCAAGTGATATCTGGCACAAGTAACCTTATTCCTTTAAGCAAAACTTCAAGAGGAATATAGTGCCGATAATTCTCTGAAAAAAGAAGTTTCCTACCCCCAATATCAAAGAAGGCCCGGCAGTCTCGCAGAGGAGTTTGATTTCCCAGTAATCCAAGTAGCTTATCATCATCATCATCTCGGTTGAGGCAATCCCACACGAACTTAGCAACATCTTTTGAGAAAATAATAATAATGATACAGTAAGTCCAAAAAATAATCGGCAGTTCTGACATGGATGTTGGTTATGGGTTTGAGCGATGTACCATGATTTCCATCACTAGGTTCGCCATGCTCCTTCTCTTGCCAATCCCACAGACTGCAGAAAGCAATATGAGATCAGGCATAAGTTCAACTAATGTAATACATTGAAATAGTTGTGAAATTTCGGACGAGTACTCAGTTCTGTGGACAGTCGAGACATGGTTTAGTTTCAGTTGCACAAACGTAAAAAACACGCCACGAAGAATGACCAATCCAGCATCAGTATGCTCCCATTTCGACCCCTCAGAGCCAAGAATATCTCGATCCAGTTTTAAACACAAACTTTACACAATCCTCCTATTATCTCATTTGCATCAAAAGCAACAGCAGGAGCGTGCATCGGTGCAGGAGGACGCCCCAATCGAACAAAGTAAATCGAGTTCGACACTCCATAGACACCAACGGGGCACCTAAGGATCTTCTAATCTAGCAAATCGACGGCAAGATCCCTCTATTTTCGGATCGGCAGAAGGAGCAGCCACGGAACTCCCGAAATCCCCATTACGCCCAGCAGATTCTAGTCCCTCATGCCCATGCTAGTCCCAAGACCCTACCAAACCCCAGTTGATCCCCTCCATCCAACAAATCCTCGAAACCGCCCGAGAAATCACAGCGCGAGAACCGGCGCGACCACAACCGACAACAGGAACCCGCACCCCCCGCAACACGCACATTTGGTTGTTGCCGTCGCCATCGCCGGATGCGCCGCCTCCGCCTCCGCCTCCGTCGCGGCGCGGGTCCATCGGCCCCGGAAGGCCTGCCCCGACTAGCCGTTGCGACGGGACCCCCCCTCCCCTCCCTCTCCTTTGACTCTAGTGGACGGGGAGACAGACAGAAACACTGCTCCTCCGCTGTCTACTCGATTCCGCAGCGGCTCGGGTAGCGCCGCATTTGTAGTCCGAGAGACCGAGGTGGGAGAGAGAGAGAGAAAGGGCAGAAAGAAAATACTAGAAAGAAATGCGGAATGGAAAATTCGGTGGGCACGAGCGGGGCCGGGTGGGCTGCCTGCCGAAGAGGCCGTTAGCCCTGGGTGTTGGCGCCGCTTTGCCACCTTTGCGTTTGTTGTCGCACGGCTAGCAGAACAGTGATGGCATTGCCAAAATGCCAAAGCCCGGGCCAGGGATTTGGCAAGGTCCAGCTAGCTACAGCATTATTTTTTCTTCAAGTTTTTCGCCAGCTCGTTTCCATTGGCTGTATACTTTAATACTTGCCCTTCGTTTGTTGAAAAAGAAAACGCACCGTTCGTTTGCTAGCGCATCGCACACTCACATAAGTAAAATGCAAATTAGCATCCATCTTTTGCTGGTGGTAACGAGACCATGGACAGCCAACTACACGATTGTTTGATAATGTGACCCAACCGTCTGCTAAGTTACCAAATGCACACCAAGTGCTTGG